ATTCATAAACACATCTTGTTGTGCCTGTTACTACAAAGGTGAAGGCCAGATTTGGTGTAGAACAAGCTTCCTATGCCCTCTCCCACAAATGACTAGTCCAGATATTGGGCACGGACAGGGAATAGTTTTTGTCCTGTACCAACAGATTGGGGAGTTGAGAAATTTTGTGCCCTCAAGTAAGTCCAGATTTGCAAGAGGGTTTGCCATACGTCATTTACATCCAAAATAATTTCAAATTCAGATTAAGAAGACTACTTTAGTGCACTCTCCTACAAGGGGGGATTTAAAATTAGGGAGACTACTTTAGTGCACTCTCCCACAAGGGGGGATTTTAAATTAGGGAGACTACTTTAGTGCACTCTCCCACAAGGGGGGATTTAAAATTAGGGAGACTACTTTAGTGCACTCTCCCACAAGGGGGGATTTTAAATTAGGGAGACTACTTTAGTGCACTCTCCTACAAGGGGGGATTTTAAATTAGGGAGACTACTTTAGTGCACTCTCCTACAAGGGGGGATTTAAAATTAGGGAGACGAGACTACTTTAGTGCACTCTCCTACAAGGGGGGATTTAAAATTAGGGAGACGAGACTACTTTAGTGCACTCTTCTACAAGGGGGGATTTTAAATTAGGGAGACTGCTTTAGTGCACTCTCCTACAAGGGGGATTTTAAATTGGGGAGAGGTGAAGTTGGTTTATTTAACGTTGTTTGTTTGTTGCTGGTTTTTTTTTTTTTTTTTTGTTACAAAAGAGATAAATACAGATTGAGAGAGTTTGCGTGCCCTCTTCCACAAAGGGTAAGTCCGAGGGGTAGTGTATCCATACTGGTTTTTGTTGAGGTATTTTTGTTACCTCAAATATGAGGGGTAATTCTATATTTGTTTTTCGTTTTTTTTTTTCGAGGGTGGGGGGGTGGGGATAGTATTTCTACTACAAGGGATAAGTCTATATTAGTGGTTCAGACAGATTAGAAAAAGGTATCGGCATGAGTAGATGTATCGTTCCTATTTTAAATCATGATTGTATCTTGTATCAGTGTACTTGGAAACGCAAGAAACAATAAATCGGTTGATGTTTTCAATTTTGGAAGAAAAAATTAATTAAACGCTGCTTTTTTACCATAAATCAATGTGTATAATTCCCTCAACCCTCCAAGTAAGTTTATACTTTAGTTACGCCATCCTCGATACTTCTGGGGTTACAATCATTTTCGTTCTCTGCACCCCTGGAACCACCCTCGATATTCCAGGAGTTACAATCACTTGCTCCAACTGTACCACTAGAACCATCCTCGATACTCAAGGGTTTACACATAACTATCTCTCTCTGTGCCCCTGGAACCATCCTCGATACTCCAGGGTTTACACATCACTATCGCTCTCTGTGCCCCTGGAACCATCCTCGATACTCCAGGGTTTACACATCGCTATCGCTCTCTGTGCCCCTGGAACCATCCTCGATATTCCAGGGTTTACACATCGCTATCGCTCTCTGTGCCCCTGGAACCATCCTCGATACTCCAGGGTTTACACATCGCTATCGCTCTCTGTGCCCCTGGAACCATCCTCGATACTCCAGGGTTTACACATCGCTATCGCTCTCTGTGCCCCTGGAACCATCCTCGATACTCCAGGGTTTACACATCGCTATCGCTCTCTGTGCCCCTGGAACCATCCTCGATACTCAAGGGTTTACACATCGCTATCGCTCTCTGTGCCCCTGGAACCATCCTCGATACTCCAGGGTTTACACATCGCTATCGCTCTCTGTGCCCCTGGAACCATCCTCGATACTCCAGGGTTTACACATCGCTATCGCTCTCTGTGCCACTGGAACCATCCTCGATACTCCAGGGTTTACACATCGCTATCGCTCTCTGTGCCCTTGGAACCATCCTCGATACTCCAGGGTTTACACATCACTATCGCTCTCTGTGCCCCTGGAACCATCCTCGATACTCCAGGGTTTACACATCACTATCGCTCTCTGTGCCCCTGGAACCATCCTCGATACTCCAGGGTTTACACATCACTATCGCTCTCTGTGCCCCTGGAACCATCCTCGATACTCCAGGGTTTACACATCGCTATCGCTCTCTGTGCCACTGGAACCATCCTCGATACTCCAGGGTTTACACATCGCTATCGCTCTCTGTGCCCCTGGAACCATCCTCGATACTCCAGGGTTTACACATCGCTATCGCTCTCTGTGCCCCTGGAACATTTCATGGCAATTAAAGGTTCCGTGTGATTACTTGATTACTTAAAGTACATCAAACGAATCTCAAGGTCGTTTATTGGTATGCTTTGCAATCTTCAAAAGGAGCGTATCAGCCTGTGATTGGTCAGTTGGAAACCTGCTTTAGACCAATCAAATCACTCCTCTGGTAGTTCAATTAGTATCGAGTATGTAACTAAGCATTGTGGCTAATGCGGCGATGTTGGTATTCCTTGATTACAGGTAACTACTTCCAACGCAGTGCTATTTGGTGTTGGTGGAGTACTGGAAGCGCAATTTCCATGGAAACAATTCCGGAAGCGGAAGTGGTTTGAAGCTGCTGTTGTTATTGCCTCCCTGTGTGTTCACTACATAGAACGGCTGATCCCAGGCTACAGAATGTGTGAACAAAGTTTTGCTTTTGATTATATAGGTAAACTAAAGAAATAAAGCTTTTTATTTGGACAACTTGACTTTCTAAAAAAATTTCTTCGATAGACATTTTTAGATTTGTCTCACATCAAGATGCATTTAAGAGCATAACATACTTGTATAGAAAGAGTGTTATTCTTACATGTACATGATCCAGAGGTAATTTCACTGTAGTGCAATAATTGAATAAGCAATTCTGGTTTTAAAGAGCAAAGGACAAAAACGATCTCTCCTGTTTGTTTGTTTGTTTGTTTGTTTGTTTGTTTGTGTTATCTAAGATATCATGTCTATCACAAAACCTGATATTATTTAGAGAATGTCTTTAAGGTGGAAGTGTATCTCAATTTAATTGAATTTAATTGAATTTTATTCTTTTTCATAATACAATGTATAGAGAAACATTTATACAATCTGAAATACAATTATTATATTGTTCCTAGTCGGTAGTACTCGAGATAAACCAATGATATAAAACCATTTGTAAATTCAAGCATCAACATATCGAACAACCAGGAATTAAAATTTTGGCTTGTATCCAATACCAGTGGAGAGTACACAGCCGCTGGCAACGGGCAGCGTACAGTAGAATTATCAAAAGGTTATGGAAATCTATCATAAAAGGAAAGTTATTGGTACTAATGAAAGATCGATATTAGGGATAAAAATTACCCAACATTACGTGATGAAAGTTAAACACACGTTTAGACTCATCTTGTCGGATGTTGAATTTTCGTAAATAAATATATGTTAAAGGATTCACATGTCGTAAACTCGGGAGAGCTACGTGTTGGTGCCGGGAAGAATTCTCGAGCTCTATACAAATATCGCAAATATAAAATGACATACAGTATGATACGGTTATTTTAGAGGATATTGTACTTATAACAGGTGCCTTCCATTTTAACGTGTGGCGGTTCGGCGAGTGGATCGATGTGGTTGTAGATGATAACTTACCTATGTACGATAACAAACTATACTACTGTCGGTCATTAGGGAACCCTTCAGAATACTGGGGTCCTCTCCTGGAGAAGTCGTATGCAAAGTGAGTCCAGAATTTTAAAAAAATATTTATTGTTTTAATGTTCCTCCATATTTATACAGAAAAGAAGTAGACAAATCCAATTGAAGTGATTTTTGGCGAAAAAATGTCCTTTGTTCATCGACACAATAAAAATAAGGTTAAAAACAATAATTTCCGAAATATTCATTCATATTCTTTTAAGAGTAATTGAGTCGTCTATCAGTTGTTTGTTCAACATTGATTATGTTTGATTTCTTTCAGAATTATGCAAACTTATGAAGCCATTGAGTGCGGAAATACTCTGGACGCGTTGACAGATATTACCGGTGCTATATGTGAATTCTACACCCCTGATATTAATCCTCCGGAACATTTTTTCCATATTATCTACAAGTCCTGGGAAAATCGATCGTTTATGGTGTGTTGGAGGAACAATAAACGGCTCACTCCGACAGGATTTAATCACTTCCGGTATGACGATGAAGAGGTAGGCTCATTAAATAAAACAGTGATATAACGAAGAGACCCTATGAAATTAGCACGGAGTTATCTAAGAGACCCTATAAAATTAGCAAGGATTTAACTATGAGACCCTTTAAAATTAGCAAGGAGTTAACTGAGAGACCTTATAAAATTAGCAAGGAGTTAACTAAGAGACCCTATAAAATTAGCACGGAGTTAACTGAGAGATCTTATAAAATTAGCAAGGAGTTATCTGTCCTTATAAAATTAGCAAGGAGTTAACTGAGAGACATTATGAAATTAGCAAGGAGTTAACTGAGAGACCAAATAAAATTAGCAAGGAGTTATCTGTTCTTATAAAATTAGCAAGGAGTTAACTGAGAGACATAAAATTAGCAAGGAGTTAACTAAGAGACCCTATAAAATTAGCACGGAGTTAACTAAGAGACCTTATAAAATTAGCACGGAGTTAACTAAGAGACCCTATAAAATTAGCACGGAGTTAACTAAGAGACCTTATAAAATTAGCACGGAGTTAACTAAGAGACCTTATAGAATTAGCATGGAGTTAACTGAGAGACATTATAAAATTAGCACGGAGTTAACTAATAGACCCTATAAATTTAGCACGGAGTTAACTGAGAGACCCTATAAAATTAGCAAGGAGTTATCTGTCCTTATAAAATTAGCAAGGAGTTAACTGAGAGACATTATAAAATTAGCATGGAGTTAACTTACCTTATGAAATTAGCAAGGAGTTAACTAAGAGACCCTATGAAATTAGCAAAGAGTTATCTGTCCTTATAAAATTAGCACGGAGTTAACAAAGAGACCCTATGAAATTAGCACGGAGTTAACTGAGAGACATTATAAAATTAGCAAGGAGTTAACTGAGAGACATTATAAAATCAGAATGGAGTTAACTGAGAGACCCTATAAAATTAGCACGGAGTTATCTGTCCTTGTGAAATTAGCATGGAGTTAACTGAGAGACCCTATAAAATTAACAAGGAGTTAACTGCCCATATAAAATTAGCAAGGAGTTAACTGAGAGACATTATAAAATTAGCATGGAGTTAACTTACCTTATGAAATTAGCAAGGAGTTAACTAAGAGACCCTATAAAATTAGCAAGGAGTTATCTGTCCTTATGAAATTAGCACGGAGTTAACTAAGAGACCCTATGAAATTAGCACGGAATTAACTGAGAGACATTATAAAATTAGCAAGGAGTTATCTGTCCTTATGAAATTAGCACGGAGTTAACTAAGAGACCCTATGAAATTAGCACGGAGTTAACTGAGAGACATTATATAATTAGCAAGGAGTTAACTGAGAGACATTATAAAATTAGCACGGAGTTAACTAAGAGACCCTATAAAATTAGCACGGAGTTAACTAAGAGACCTTATAAAATTAGCACGGAGTTAACTAAGAGACCTTATAGAATTAGCACGGAGTTAACTGAGAGACATTATAAAATTAGCATGGAGTTAACTTACCTTATGAAATTAGCAAGGAGTTAACTAAGAGACCCTATGAAATTAGCACGGAGTTAACTGAGAGACATTATAAAATTAGCAAGGAGTTAACTGAGAGACATTATAAAATTAGCATGGAGTTAACTTACCTGATGAAATTAGCAAGGAGTTAACTAAGAGACCCTATAAAATTAGCAAGGAGTTATCTGTCCTTATGAAATTAGCACGGAGTTAACTGAGAAACCCTATAAAATTAGCACGGAGTTAACTGAGAGACATTATAAAATTAGCACGGAGTTAACTAAGAGACCCTATAAAATTAACACGGAGTTAACTGAGAGACATTATAAAATTAGCATGGAGTTAACTTACCTTATGAAATTAGCAAGGAGTTAACTAAGAGACTCTATAAAATTAGCAAGGAGTTATCTGTCCTTATGAAATTAGCACGGAGTTAACTAAGATACCCTATGAAATTAGCACGGAGTTAACTGAGAGACATTATAAAATTAGCAAGGAGTTAACTGAGAGACATTATAAAATTAGCACGGAGTTAACTAAGAGACCCTATAAAATTAGCACGGAGTTAACTGAGAGACATTATAAAATTAGCACGGAGTTAACTAAGAGACCCTATAAAATTAGCACGGAGTTAACTGAGAGACATTATAAAATTAGCACTTACCTTATGGAGTTAACTAAGAGACCCTATAAAATTAGCACGGAGTTAACTGAGAGACATTATAAAATTAGCACGGAGTTAACGGAGTTAACTAAGAGACCCTATAAAATTAGCACGGAGTTAACTGAGAGACATTATAAAATTAGCACGGAGTTAACTAAGAGACCCTATAAAATTAGCACGGAGTTAACTGAGAGACCCTATAAAATTAGCACGGAGTTAACTGAGAGACATTATAAAATTAGCAAGGAGTTAACTTAAAGATCCTATAAGATTAACAAGGAGCTAAAGAAGATATATTATAAAATTAGCAAGGAGTTAACTGAGAGACCTTATAAAATTAGCATGGCGTTAACTGAGAGACCCTATAAAATTAGCAAGGAGTTATCTGTCCTGATAAAATTAGCAAGGAGTTAAGAGACCCTATAAAATTAGCAAGGAGTTATCTGTCCTTATAAAATTAGCACGGAGTTAACAAAGAGACCCTATGAAATTAGCACGGAGTTAACTGAGAGACATTATAAAATCATAATGGAGTTAACTGAGAGACCCTATAAAATTAGCACGGAGTTATCTGTCCTTATAAAATTAGCAAGGAGTTAACTGAGAGACATTATGAAATTAGCATGGAGTTAACTGAGAGACCCTATAAAATTAACAAGGAGTTATCTGCCCATATAAAATTAGCAAGGAGTTAACTGAGAGACATTATAAAATTAGCATGGAGTTAACTTACCTTATGAAATTAGCAAGGAGTTAACTAAGAGACCCTATAAAATTAGCAAGGAGTTATCTGTCCTTATGAAATTAGCACGGAGTTAACTAAGAAACCCTATGAAATTAGCACGGAATTAACTGAGAGACATTATAAAATTAGCACGGAGTTAACTAAGAGACCCTATAAAATTAGCACGGAGTTAACTGAGAGACATTATAAAATTAGCACGGAGTTAACTAAGAGACCCTATAAAATTAGCACGGAGTTAACTGAGAGACATTATAAAATTAGCACGGAGTTAACTAAGAGACCCTATAAAATTAGCACGGAGTTAACTGAGAGACCCTATAGAATTAGCACGGAGTTAAATGAGAGACCCTATAAAATTAGCACGGAGTTAACTGAGAGACCCTATAAAATTAGCACGGAGTTAACTAAGAGACCCTATAAAATTAGCACGGAGTTAACTAAGAGACCCTATAAAATTAGCACGGAGTTAACTGAGAGACATTATAAAATTAGCAAGGAGTTAACTTAAAGATCCTATAAGATTAACAAGGAGATAAAGAAGATATATTATAAAATTAGCAAGGAGTTAACTGAGAGACCTTATAAAATTAGCATGGCGTTAACTGAGAGACCCTATAAAATTAGCAAGGAGTTATCTGTCCTGATAAAATTAGCAAGGAGTTAAGAGACCCTATAAAATTAGCAAGGAGTTAACTGACCTTATAAAATTAGCACGGAGTTAAATAAGAGACGCTATAAAATTAGCACGGAGTTAACTAAGAGACCTTATAAAATTAGCAAGGAGTTAAGAGACCCTATAAAATTAGCAAGGAGTTATCTGTCCTTATAAAATTAGCACGGAGTTAAGAGACCCTATAAAATTAGCACGGAGTTAGTTAAAATCAAATTAGCAAGGAGTTAACTGACCTTATAAAATTAGCACGGAGTTAAATAAGAGACGCTATAAAATTAGCACGGAGTTAACTAAGAGACCCTATGAAATTATCACGGAGTTAACTGAGAGACATTATTAAATTAGCAAAGAGTTAACTGAGAGACATTATAAAATTAGCACGGAGTTAATTAAGAGACCCTATAAAATTAGCACGGAGTTAACTAAGAGACCTTATAAAATTAGCACGGAGTTAACTGAGAGACCCTATAAAATTAGCACGGAGTTAACTGAGAGACCCTATAAAATTAGCACGGAGTTAACTAAGAGACCTTAAACAATTAGCAAAGAGTTAACTAAGAGACCTTAAACAATTAACACGGAGTTAACTAAGAGACCTTAAACAATTAGCAAAGAGTTAACTAAGAGACCTTAAACAATTAGCAAAGAGTTAACTAAGAGACCTTAAACAATTAACACGGAGTTAACTAAGAGACCTTAAACAATTAACACGGAGTTAACTAAGAGACCTTAAACAATTAACACGGAGTTAACTAAGAGACCTTAAACAATTAGCAAAGAGTTAACTAAGAGACCTTAAACAATTAACACGGAGTTAACTAAGAGACCTTAAACAATTAGCAAAGAGTTAACTAAGAGACCTTAAACAATTAGCAAAGAGTTAACTAAGAGACCTTAAACAATTAACACGGAGTTAACTAAGAGACCTTAAACAATTAACACGGAGTTAACTAAGAGACCTTAAACAATTAACACGGAGTTAACTAAGGGACCTTAAACAATTAACACGGAGTTAACTAAGAGACCTTAAACAATTAACACGGAGTTAACTAAGGGAAGATTTTATATTAAATAAGTGAATGATTTTACGATGAGAAGTAGCTATATGAGCGAAGAAGTTGTATTAAAGAAGCGCAAAATTTTATAAAGAGAAGAATTTACATTTATATATATATCAAATAAGGGCGTAATTTCACTATTTGAATTGATACCAATTAAGCGAGCGATTTCACTAAGCGAAGAATCAATATTGAATAGATGAATGATATAACTAAGAGAAAAATGTTATTGAATATGCGAGTATTTTCACTAAGAAAAAATATATATTAAATAAGGGCGTAATTTCACCAAGAGCAGAATTAATAGAAGCAAGTGATTTAACTAAGAAAAGAATTTATATTAAATAAAGCGTTATTTCACTAACGGAATAATTTATTTAAATAAGCAAGTAATTTCATTTAAAGAAGAATTTGTTTTAAAAAGCTATTGTTTTCACCAAGAGAAGAATTTATATAAAGGGATGAATTCAATAACTAAGCATTTATATGAAATAATTGAGTGATTTCACTAAGAGATTTAAGAATTAATATCAAATAATTGATGGAGTTAAGAGAAAAAGTTTACACTGAATAAGCGAGTGAGCTAACTAGAAGAAAACAATTATACTAAATAACCGAGTGAGCTAACTAGAAGAAAACAATTATACTAGATAAGCGAGTGAGCTAACTAGAAGAAAACAATTATACTAGATAACCGAGTGAGCTAACTAGAAGAAAACAATTATACTAGATAACCAAGTGAGCTAACTAGAAGAAAACAATTATACTAGATAACCGAGTGAGCTAACTAGAAGAAAACAATTATACTAGATAAGCGAGTTAGCTAACTAGAAGAAAACAATTATACTAGATAAGCGAGTGAGCTAACTAGAAGAAAACAATTATACCAGATAAGCGAGTGAGCTAACTAAAAGAAAACAATTATACTAGATAAGCGAGTGAGCTAACTAGAAGAAAACAATTATACCAGATAAGCGAGTGAGCTAACTAGAAGAAAACAATTATACTAGATAACCGAGTGAGCTAACTAGAAGAAAACAATTATACTAGATAAGCGAGTTAGCTAACTAGAAGAAAACAATTATACTAGATAAGCGAGTGAGCTAACTAGAAGAAAACAATTATACCAGATAAGCGAGTGAGCTAACTAGAAGAAAACAATTATACTAGATAAGCGAGTGAGCTAACTAGAAGAAAACAATTATACCAGATAAGCGAGTGAGCTAACTAGAAGAAAACAATTATACTAGATAACCAAGTGAGCTAACTAGAAGAAAACAATTATACTAGATAACCAAGTGAGCTAACTAGAAGAAAACAATTATACTAGATAACCAAGTGAGCTAACTAGAAGAAAACAATTATACTAGATAAGCGAGTTAGCTAACTAGAAGAAAACAATTATACTAGATAACCAAGTGAGCTAACTAGAAGAAAACAATTATACTAGATAACCAAGTGAGCTAACTAGAAGAAAACAATTATACTAGATAACCAAGTGAGCTAACTAGAAGAAAACAATTATACTAGATAAGCGAGTTAGCTAACTAGAAGAAAACAATTATACTAGATAAGCGAGTGAGCTAACTAGAAGAAAACAATTATACTAGATAACCGAGTGAGCTAACTAGAAGAAAACAATTATACTAGATAACCGAGTGAGCTAACTAGAAGAAAACAATTATACTAGATAACCGAGTGAGCTAACTAGAAGAAAACAATTATACTAGATAACCGAGTGAGCTAACTAGAAGAAAACAATTATACTAGATAACCGAGTGAGCTAACTAGAAGAAAACAATTATACTAGATAACCGAGTGAACTAACTAGGAGAAAACAATAATAGTAAGAGAGAAAAATATCAGATAAACTAGTGATGTAGAGAATTTGTTAGTTTTTTCAATGTTCATGTGCTGACAGAATTCATTTTGTGAATAAGCGCGATGATACATTTGTGCAGTTAACTGTTATGTTTTTAGAATGTTTGTTAGAATGAGATTATCAAGTCACAATTGTCTTTAACATTTACCACATGTAAAGGTCAAATTATAAGTGAATTTCTACGTCTTCTTCATCCTATTCTTCAAATCAAATACGATCTTGATTCACAAATGCGACGTGTAAAAGATTGATGGGGTAGAACGAGGAAATATTTATATATAAACGTATATGGAAATGATGGTAGTAGATTCTGTAGAGTATTACCTAATTTACAGACAGGAGGAGATGTTGAGGCAAGCGACGAGGAGAGATACCTTCATATCATCACTGCAGTTACCAAGGTAAGCCAAGCGATCTTATTAAAGCTGTTTTATAGGTTAGACAGCACCATTAACAGGAGCAATATAATCCATAGGATGCCAGTAGATTTATCAATTGTTAATATTAAGTGATGAAATGTAATCAAATTTACAAAATTTCTGAATTTCAATTTTTGTTTTGGTGATGATGTTTTGAAAGGTAAGTTAATAAAAAGTAATTTAAAGGAAAAAAGCATGTTTTTACTCTTCTTTTTCTACTACAGACGTAAGACTGTTATTCTAATCTTGCAGAGTTATTGCCCTTTGTGTCGCCTTATCAGTACAGCGATAAGCCTGACTCAATGTTTGTTTTTAACATAATCTATTGCAATCACATTCGCGCAACAGTACATGATTTTGTTAGTCCTTTCATTGTGTCTGAAGGCCTGATTATCGTAAACATTCCACCTCGTTTTATCCGCGTGGTTTTGAAATACGACCAAAGAGGTTACGTAACACATTGAAAAAACACACAGCTTGGAATATCGCAATCAAATATTTTATATACCTCATAATATTTTAACATGTGTAATATGAAAAATGTTTTTATTTATAGATTTGGATTAGGTGAAACTCGATTGGAATTAATCACTCATTATTTGAGAGCTTTACATATATGGGGTTTGGGTGGTGGTAGTTGCTGCAAAATCGTTTGAACTCTAGTATTATCAAGAATTCAAGTAACTAAATTGCTTGACATGGAAATACTGTATACTGGGATTATCCTGCTTCAGTTTAGATTTGGCCATTTATCCTCATGTGAATAAGACAGAGAATAAGAAGATTATGAACTATATAAAGTTTAAACTTTGAAAAATACATAATCATGCCTGAAAAAGAAAAAAATATTGTTAAAAACAATTTTTAATGGAAGATGAACACAACAAAGAAAATGCAAGCAAATGAAAAAATCATAATCCAAACTCCAGTTCCATAAACTTATATAAACAACTCCTGAAAAAGAACAAGGAAAACAAGACCAGGTGTTACCAAAGAGTAAGCGTCTTCCGCTTCATCATTGACATCATCATTGTTAACCTTGGTCAATCCAAATAAGTAATGCCACGTTCCATACAATGATTCAACAGATACATTTACGCTGAAGGAATGTTTGAAACAGATACATTTACACTGAAAGAATGTTTCACTGTATATGAAACAGATACATTTACACTGAACGAATGTTTCACTGTATATGAAACAGATACATTTACACCGAAAGAATGTTTCACTGTATATGAAACAGATACATTTACACCGAAAGAATGTTTCACTGTATATGAAACAGATACATTTACACCGAAAGAATGTTTCACTGTATATGAAACAGATACATTTACACCGAAAGAATGTTTCACTGTATATGAAACAGATACATTTACACCGAAGGAATGTTTCACTGTATATGAAACAGATACATTTACACTGAAGGAATGTTTCACTGTATATGAAACAGATACATTTACACTGAAAGAATGTTTCACTGTATATGAAACAGATACATTTACACTGAAGGAATGTTTCACTGTATATGAAACAGATACATTTACACTGAAGGAATGTTTCACTGTATATGAAACAGATACATTTACACTGAAAGAATGTTTCACTGTATATGAAACAGATACATTTACACTGAACGAATGTTTCACTGTATATGAAACAGATACATTTACACTGAACGAATGTTTCACTGTATATGAAACAGATACATTTACACTGAAGGAATGATTGAAACAGATACATTTACACTGAAAGAATGTTTGAAACAGATACATTTACACTGAAAGAATGTTTCACTGTATATGAAACAGATACATTTACACTGAACGAATGTTTCACTGTATATGAAACAGATACATTTACACTGAAAGAATGTTTGAAACAGATACATTTACACCGAAAGAATGTTTCACTGTATATGAAACAGATACATTTACACTGAACGAATGTTTCACTGTATATGAAACAGATACATTTACACTGAACGAATGTTTCACTGTATATGAAACAGATACATTTACACTGAAGGAATGTTTCACTGTATATGAAACTGATACATTTACACTGAACGAATGTTTCACTGTATATGAAACTGATACATTAAAATTAGGATAAACTTACCGTTGTCCTTGTATTTTTTCAGGATTCTCATGTAAATCATTTCTGTTGCTTTTTTGCCTTAGCTTTATTGAATTTGTGTTTGGGTTATGACTTATGTTGATATTTTTGTTGTTTTAGTGGATGGCATGATTAAATAACATAAAAAGTTCACCTTTCAGTTCCCTTCAATGGACGCCAGGATGGTGGAGGTTATACGATTGAAATGTCCTTACAGTTCAGAACCTCAATGGAAAGGGAGATACTCAGAAAGGTTTGTCCGTCAGGAAATAACCTTTTCTTAACCTACTTAAGTCGAATCTCCTTAACTCGAACTCGTATAACTCCAAGACCCCATTTAATTCGAAACATTCCCTTGGTCTCTGCCTAATTTTCCACAAAACATTGGAACTCACTTATATCGATTACTCAGTTATCTCGAAATGTTCTCGTGGTCCCGTAGAGTTCGAGATAACGAAGTTCGGCTGTATGTAATGCTGGTCTATCCTGTGTTATACAGCCATCCTTACTGGATGTATTACATGTGCGTCAGATAAATGATGCCTCGTGATTCGTTGTTTAGATCTACAGTTAAAGGTGCTTCTCATTCGCGTATCTATTGTGCAGTCTTGGAGATAGCATGTGGAAGATGCTGCTGGTGGACGTTTTGTTTCCGGAGGTTTATTGTAGCCTGCATGTCACGTTTTCATTCATTCGAATAGTGGCGCGGTCTAGAATAAATATGTGTACTTGACGTTGTTCTAAAATTATCTGATACATTGTATATGAAAATTAGGAAATTAATTTGATTAGAGGACTGCTGCGCCTCCCCGTCTACATTTTGACTTTCGATCGCTTCAGATTTTCCTCATTCGCCTCTTCGGTTTCAGAATTTAGACCATTGTCATCAATGACGAGTCCTAAAAGTTTATTCCACATGGCTCTACAGTATCTCTAACTCTTAATTTGTATTAAATGGTTCCATCCATATGTCTTTTGTACAATCACACAGAAAAAGAGATAATTCAACGGTTTCTTTTAATAAAAACACTTCAGAAATGTAATTTCAAATACATAAATAGGGCTGACCACTTTGCGTGACCCTTGGATTGAATAAATAGAATATTTCAACCAAATGGAGTCGTGATTTCAATCCGAGATGAAAGATAATTAAGTTAGCAAGAACGAGGCTTGCCGAGTCTTTGCAACTTAAACATCTATTTTTCCCTAGTAAAGCTTTGCCGTGATTAATTTCTTGGTATGACCTCAATGAACTGTTATTGAGACGTCAAATCATTGCCTTGATTCAAATATAGTGCCTTAAAACACGCAATAAAACAACACTTTTCTTTTTAATATTTACTATTGCTCAATGTATAATATATCATAAACACTTTTTACATCTTTGAACATGTTGGTCAAAATATTAATACTACTTCACTGTCAATAGTAATCTTACAAATCTTACACATTTATGAATGGAATTCTTGGTTTGCTTGTTAGATGACGTCACTTACGTCACACATTTCGCGCCACACCGACAGGAGGAAAGTTAGTCATTGTCACTTTCAATCACACGTGGACGACGGCGGAAAGCCTGAGTCCCAGGGTTGGTGATGTTGATATTTATAGAACAGTTTTGTTAATACGAGCCTGCAAACAATGACTCCAATCGACTATGCGTGTTTGTGGATGAAGCGGTTGACGAGGACATAGTCGATGAGTGCGCGGGAAAAAACTATGAATTACTCCGCGCGCGAGGCTTTATTACACAGGCGCCTGTGTAATAAACGTCTATCATGACCATGTTTATTGCCCTGGACAGGCCTATCTGACACAGGTGGAAATGAGAGAATACCTTTTCTCCCACCTCTGCCCATGTAGGATAGACATGTCCCATGTGGAACACCCATGGAGGATAAATCTATCCCACATGACTGCACTCGGTGACCTCAGTCGGTTATCACAACTGACTCAAACCGACGAGTGGATGCTTTGTTTCCAGGTTCCGTAATGCGTGACTGTAACATCACAGTTAACATTAACTATAACAATCCTTGTCCAGTGAACACAAATAAACGTCGGAGGATCATCTATGACTTTGATTCTGAATGAACACACGCGTGACACTCACAACATTGCAATTTTTCGCGCGCATAAACAATTGACGTCATTATAAACTGGGAAATCCCCTTTTTGTCTATGACATCGCGGCAAGCCTGCCCTACCTTAATAAATGATACGGAGTTAAATGTTGTTCAATACAAGTATTTCCATGTATCTGTCGCTAATTAAAATATCTAATTTCCAAAAAATAAATATTTTTAATGGTTATTCATATTGCGTTTGTAGTCTGTCATTTTGCTCTCGCGGAAGAATGTAGAATTTTGGAAACGTGAATGGTGATATTCATGCGCCATTCAGGTACTTGTACCGTGGGATTTTTTTTTTACGTCGTGGTGGAAATAATGGGGTGGGAGAAAAATAATCAACCTCGGGTTAGACAACAACAAAAATCAACCCTCGGGTTGGAGATTTCTCTATCACACCCTCAGGGTAGGGGAAGATTCTATTAATCTCACATCGGTAAAAAGTGTGGATTTACCTGGCCAGGGTAAGAGACAAGGAAATCTCGCAACGGTAAAAAGTGTGGATTTACCTGGCCAGGGTAAGAGACAAGGAAATCTCGCAACGGTAAAAATCGTGGATTTACCTGGCCAGGGTAAGAGACAAGGAAATCTCGCATCGGTAAAAAGTGTGGATTTACCTGGCCAGGGTAAGAGACAAGGAAATCTCGCAACGGTAAAAATCGTGGATTTACCTGGCCAGGGTAAGAGACAAAGAAATAGCACACCAGTAGAAAACGTGGTTTTACCTGTCCAGGGTAATAGACAAGGAAATCTTACATCAGTAAAAAGTGTGGATTTACCTGTCCAGGGTAGGAGACAAGGAAATCTCACACCGGTAAAAAGTGTGGATTTACCTGTCCAGGGTAAGAGACAAGGAAATCTCACACCGGTAAAAAGTGTGGATTTACCTGTCCAGGGTAAGAGACAAAGAAATATCACACCAGTAGAAAACGTGGTTTTACCTGTCCCGGGTAAGAGAAATTCCTGCAGACACATATATCATGAAGTATTTCACCATATAATGATTTTAACAATAACGTTTTTGATATATTGTAAAAAAGAAAACTCGTGAAAGCAGTGTGTCACCGTGTGTAGATCGTGTTTATACCTCTCATTTTTTTAATCGAATTAGTGATCCATTTTTCAAAATGCTTGATTAATTAAAATTAGGCACTTTGCATGCCTACAACAATCAGTTCGAATATGGTTGTTACCTAATTCCAAATACATAATTTCACCTAGTTCCACTTGGTCAGTCAATACAGTACAATACACGCGGCGTGCTGATTGTTTTTTTTTTCTGATAAATCCCCATCTATCACGAAAAGGGACATTCTAGGATTTTCTTCTGACCTATTAGCCATTCTTCGCTTTGTTGCCATCATTGTAACATTTTTCAACAGCGACCGATTCACAAGGGAAGCCATTATTGTTTACTGATGTGGTGTGTGAAACGCATGCGCTGTGATATATGACGCAAAAACTTTCAGTTTATCAACGGCGAGAGACTTTTCCTTGTATAAGTATCAATTAGATTTTTAAGTGCATATAATCATGCAATAATGATAAAGACTACAGAACTGATCGTGACCTAAATTTGCCCTCCTGTGGAATAAAATAGTGAAAGGTTGACGAGAGTGCTAAAATATACAATACACGCTATAGTTAATAGTAGTTTTATTGGTTATTTTGATGGTTTATATAAGTATTATACTTACCATTTCAATTTTTATCATCCTGGATTTTTCTATTACAGGGATCGCTTATCATGGATGTCTTTAAATACTGGATATTTGGAACGTTACCATCCGCTTTTATGCAAAGACCCAGATGAATATTGGTTATCAATGGAGGATTTCCGGTGTAACTTTGGCGGTTTAATTATCTGCAGTGGAAAAGAACCTTTCCGGCTAGAAGGTTTCAACGTAGCTCGAGTATACGGCTGTACAAAGGAACCGGAAGTGGTAACCAATAACAACGTCAGCCATGACACATATTGTAGACAATCCCGCTCAACCACACTAAAAAACACTCGTGATGATAAATATAAGGCTGGGATCGAGAACAGTAAACTTAGTCCTCGTGTACAGGAATCCAACAAAGAAATCACTGTAAAGGAAAATAAGCAGACTATCAAAGTAGACACAACAAAGAAAGAACATTTCCCGCGAAACAAAGTCGGCATCATTACTACGCTAACCGATGGTGTGGACGAGAGTGCCTTGATGACTCTTTTGAATCAGAGACGAGGCTCAGAGAACCCTAATACTTACAGGTCGACTGATCCGAAAGGATACATGCGCAGGCGCAGTGCTTCGCATGCTTCGACACGAATAGACCATCCAAGATTTGACAGACTTCAACAGCTAAATAGTAGTTTATCTGTAAATTCATTTTCATCAGAACCCGATAGCACTTATTCTGCATCCGATATCTCTGTTAACATTTCGGAAACAAGATCTCGCGAGAACTCTGTGTCTAGGGGTGGTCGAAAATTGTCTTTTCCCCTCGTGCATTCTCGAAAACTTTCGGCAGGTTCCGTGTCTCATTTGACTCAAAGTAACTTTCTGGCAATGAAGAAGGATCACTTCCGATCTCATGGTGAATGGAACGTAATAATGGAACATTATGACAGATGGACGAGTAAGTAACTCCATTCAGAACAGCTGTTTAATGTGTTAAAACTATTAGATGTAATATGTTGATCATATTAGTTACACATACTAGAAATGTCTCTATGCATTGACTGGAGGTTAGATTGGTTTTGGTTCAACAACAGGCAAACTAACGAGCATCAAACACGTCCAGCTTCGTACTACACACAGAAATAGAATATTACTCAATGAAATCACTATGGAAACCATTTAACCATAATTTTCAGCAACCTGCATCTTTTGTACCCCTGTGTTACAAGTTTGTCAGATAATTGACAAATAACAGGCCCTTGAATATCGAATTAACTGCGACAGTTAAACACCATAGGTTGGATTTATAGCTATATTGTCAATGAGACATTTTGACAATTCAGAATAGATCATTTGAAATCAATATTATGATTTATTATGGTTTTCTTGGTATCTCTATTTTTATCTTATGTACTTTACTTTATTGACCATCTGAGAGATAGATCGGGGGTGTTCATAAAAGATGTATCCACCATTGACGGGGTGAATCAAATTATTATTCCCACAATCTTTCCCGAAATCTTAATTTCAGAGCGAAACAAGTTTATTTTCCTCACTGACCTTTTCAGGCCTTTAATTTGTTATCTTTTAGCCAGTCTTGTGTATTTTTGTCTCTCTCCGTTTGGACTTTGAAATTCAATTTTTGACCACATGGCTGAAATGATCTTTTGTGTCTTTTGTACAATCTTTAAAAAAAATGTGGCGACTCAAAATTATTTTTGTTATCAAAACGTTTTAAGTTTTCTTCATATTTATCAAATTGAGAAATATTTCTTTGTACGATTTGAAGCTGGACATGTTTGATGCTCGTTAATTTGCCTGTTGGTTCTGTTGTTGTATACCTTTTTCACATCTGAGGACGTGACATATTTTACTGGATTGACCAAGACTAACAAGTTTGACCCCTAGAATTTGCATACGGTTTTATCAGATTGTACAAAAGATCGTAACTCCTAGAATATCGAGGATGGTTCCAGGGGTACAGAGAGAGAAAGTGATCGTAACCACAGTAGTATCGAGGATGGTTCCAGGGGGACAGAGAGAGAAAGTGATCGTAACCCCAGTAGTTTCAATGATGGTTCCAGGGGTACAGAGAGAGAATGTGATCGTAACCACAGTAGTATCGAGGATGGTTCCAGAGGTACAGAGAGCGTAAGTGATCGTAACCCCTGGAGTATCGAGGATGGTTCCAGGGGTACAGAGAATGAAAGTGATCGTAGCCACTGGAGTATCGAAAATGGACCAGAGGTACAGAGAGTGAGAGTGATCGTAGCCCCTGGAATATCGAGAGTGGTTCCAGGGGTACAGAGAGAGAAAGTGATAGTAACCCCTGGAGTATCGAGGATGGTTCCAGGGGGACAGAGAATGAAAGTGATCGTAACCCCTGGAGTATCGAGGATGGTTCCAGGGGGACAGAGAGAGAAAGTGATCGTAACCTCAGTAGTTTCAATGATGGTTCCAGGGGTACAGAGAGAGAAAGCGATCGTAACCCCTGGAGTATCGAGGACGGTTCCAGGGGGACAGAGAATGAAAGTGATCGTTACCACAGTAGTATCGTGGATGGTTCCAGGGGTACAGGGAGAGAAAGTGCTCATAGCCCCTGGAGTATCGAGGATGGTTGCAGGGGTACAGAGAGAAAGTGATCGTAACACCTGGAGTATCGAGGATGGTTGCAGGGGTACAGAGAGAAAGTGATCGTAGCCCCTGGAGTATCGAGGATGGTTGCAGGGGTACAGAGAGAAAGTGATCGTAGCCCCTGGAGTATCGAGGATGGGTGCAGGGTTACAGAGAGAAAGTGATCGTAACACCTGGAGTATCGGGGATGGTTCCAGGGGTACAGAGAGAGAAAGTGATCGTAGCCCCTGGAGTATCGAGGATGGTTGCAGGGGTACAGAGAGAGAAAGTGATCGTAGCCCCTGGAGTATCGAGGATGGTTGCAGGGGTACAGAGAGAAAGTGATCGTAACACCTGGAGTATCGAGGATGGTTCCAGGGGTACAGAGAGAGAAAGCGATCGTAACACCTGGAGTATCGAGGATGGTTACAGGGGTACAGATTGCTAATGTGAAGTATCGAGAATGTGTAACATTGCAATATGAGTTCCATTGTTGTAACTAAGAAAGTATATGCCTGAATCTCTATTTGATTTTTTCAGAGTCAATGACAACAGTCTCCAGTGATACGAAAGCTAACTCGGGTAATCCCAGAATCTGTTTTGCTATAAATAGCAGTCATAACTCAAATGACCAGATTTCACCCCCGCCGTTTCGTGGGAAATCCCACGTGCTGATATCGCTGTTACAAGATTGCCGTCACGGACCGTCAACTGCCAATAGTCTGCTCGTACCAATAGGCTTTGGGGTCTATAGGGTAAGAATTTGAAAAAAAAAAAAAAAAAACATTTTCTACGAAACGCATGTTTGTGATGATAATTATAATTATTTTCTGAAATATTCAGTACCCAACATTTACTTAAATAAATCCTTGATTTTCTACACATACCCTAATCCTGTCCTGTCCACTAAATAAGCGATCTAAAAGCCCAATAGAGATGAAACCTTCACACTATTGCAATTGTTCGGATATCGCAAAACTCAGGCTCAGTAAAAACAAGGACAAGAACAACAACACTCAAGCTCAGTAAAACCAAGGACAAGAACAACAAAACTCAAGCTCAGTAAAAACAAGGACAAGAACAACAACACTCAAGCTCAGTAAAACCAAGGACAAGAACAACAAAACTCAAGCTCATTAAAAACAAGGACAAGAACAACAACACTCAAGCTCAGTAAAAACAAGGACAAGAACAACAACACTCAAGCTCAGTAAAAACAATGACAAGAACAACAAAAGTCAGGCTCAGTAAAAACAAGGACAAGAACAACAAAAGTCAGGCTCAGTAAAAACAAGGACAAGAACAACAACACTCAGGCTCAGTAAAAACAAGGACAAGAACAACAACACTCAAGCTCAGTAAAAACAAGGACAAGAACAACAAACAAAAGTCAGGCTCAGTAAAAACAAGGACAAAAACAACAACACTCAAGCTCAGTAAAAACAAGGACAAGAACAACAACACAAGCTAAGTAAAAACAAGGACAAGAACAACAACACTCAAGCTCAGTAAAAACAAGGACAAGAACAACAACACTCAAGCTCAGTAAAAACAAGGACAAGAACAACAACAGGCTCAGTAACAACAAAACTCAAGCTCAGTAAAAACAAGGACAAGAACAACAAAACAGGCTCAGTAAAAAAAACTCAAGCTCAGTAAAAACAAGGACAAGAACAACAACACTCAAGCTCAGTAAAAACAAGGACAAGAACAACAACACTCAAGCTCAGTAAAAACAAGGACAAGAACAACAAAACTCAAGCTCAGTAAAAACAAGGACAAGAACAACAAAAGTCAGGCTCAGTAAAAACAAGGACAAGAACAACAACACTCAAGCTCAGTAAAAACAAGGACAAGAACAACAACACTCGAGCTCAGTAAAAACAAGGACAAGAACAACAACACTCGAGCTCAGTAAAAACAAGAACAACAACAAGAAAACTCAAGCTCAGTAAAAACAAGGACAAGAACAACAACACTCAAGCTCAGTAAAAACAAGGACAAGAACAACAACACTCAAGCTCAGTAAAAACAAGGACAAGAACAACAAAAGTCAGGCTCAGTAAAAACAAGGACAAGAACAACAACACTCAGGCTCAGTAAAAACAAGGACAAGAACAACAACACTCAAGCTCATTAAAAACAAGGACAAGAACAACAACACTCGAGCTCAGTAAAAACAAGGACAACAACAACAAAACTCAAGCTCAGTAAAAACAAGGACAAGAACAACAAAACTCAAGCTCAGTAAAAACAAGGACAACAACAACAACACTCAAGCTCAGTAAAAACAAGGACAACAACAACAACTAGAAAATATTAACACGTGAACCGTCTCCAACTCAAATTCAACAAAACTAGAGTAAAATATGAAAATTTTTCGGATATTCAAGATTAAGTGTAAGGAGAATGAGCCGAAATGATTTGGAAGATTAAGCGTGTTCTGGTCAATCGAGGACACCACAAGAATATGGCTTTTCCTTGTTTACATTGAATTTATAAACTGATAATACGTACTGTGTTTTATTGCTGTCTAGGTGTCAAACCAAACCTTTATCAAATATTCTGAGTGTTAACGACATTTGAATTATTCAACTCTGTATACTACGATGCCCCAACTCCAAACTGAAAATTCTCATTCGTTGCCCGTCTATAAGACATGTGTTTTCAATGAACGTTGAACGCCGATGCAGAATATATGGTATTGTGTGAAAAATATGTCGAAAGTTAAAAGGAAGTGAAGATGAAAAATTGAAAGGTAAAAAAGATCGAGTTTCCAGTTGATAATATTTTCGTCCGAACAAAGCATACCACAAAATAGAGCTGTTTCGTCCTTCTAGGCCTCGTCAGTGATGCTGCATAATACAGGTGTTTCGTCCTTCTAGGCCTCGTCAGTGATGCTGCATAATACAGCTGTTTCGTCTTTCTAGGCCTCGTCAGTGATGCTGCATAATACAGATGTTTCGTCTTTCTAGGACTCGTCAGTGATGCTACATCATACAGCTGTTTAGTCCTTCTAGGCCTCGTCTGTAATGCTGCATAATACAGCTGTTTTGTCCTTCTAGGCCTCGTCAGTGATGCTGCATAATACAGCTGTCTCGTCTTTCTAGGACTCGTCAGTGATGCTACATCATACAGCTGTTTGTTCCTTCTAGGACTCGTCAGTAATAATAAGGGCCTAAAGGGTTTGAGGGAGGGGGGACTGAGGTAAACCCATAAATTAAAACTCGATTGAGAAATGACCCATCCCTATAATTCAATGACTTTTGAAGCATCCGTTGTTTATTTGATTTTAGAAAAACGCCATGTTTCCGAAATGTTTCACTATGACTAGAAATACATTGACATTTCCCATCGTACAATCTTCCCGAATTGAAAATCAAGGACATGACAAACACTTCTATATCTTCTGTTTACCTTGGTTCTCTACTCGCTTCAATGACTTTCCGTGTAAACCTTACCTGTTGTTCTGTCCTCGTTTCAATGACTTTCCGTGTAAACCTTACCTGTTGTTCATATCCTGTCCTCGTTTCAGTGAATTGTAGTTTGAACTTTTTTGCTTTTTCGTGATATTTGTTGATTTGATGGAGTCGAGTTGGAATCAACGTTCGGATGAATAGTTTCAGCATACTGTTTACATGTACGCCGCTACAATGCCTTCGTTGTGAACGCTCAATAACTCCAGTATTACTGTCTTATTTCATCCGGAGCCGCGCAATTAAGATTTCAATGGTTTCTAATTGTTTCGTCATGGGTAATTAGAACAGCTATTTGAACGAAAAATTAAAATCGAAAAGAAAAAAAAACTTGATTTTATTAATAAGAGTGACTTAAGCTATTTTTAATTTACATAAAGAGGTATCATTTCAAGTATATAATTTTGACGGATGTTTCTAAAAAAAATATCGATTAACTTTTTTCCCTTTTTTCCTATTTCAATATGTCTTAGACGAAGAATTCAGACAAAGATGAAAAGCGACCTTTATCACAGCTGCAAACTATTGGGCTGTTTGAGTCGGCGCATGACCAACGGGAAGTGAGTGGACGATTGGATCTAGATGAAGGAAGTTACGTCATAGTCCCGTATTGTAAATCATCAGGTCATGAAGGAAGCTTCCTGTTGCGCATGCTCGGAGATAAAAGGACAGTAGCTGGTAAAGTTGGATGGTGAGCTTGTCATTTTAGGAATAAGGTTAACATGACTTTTGATGGTGGGTGGTCGGGTGGCGCAGTGATAACGCACTCGCCTTTCACCAAGCTGTCCGTGGTTCGATTCCCGGAAAGGATGTGAAAAGGTATGGGGTCACCTGCCTTACCACGTGGGTTTTCCCCGGTACTCCAGTTTCCTCCCACAGTAAGACCGTTCACGCGTTTCATCCGGGTGCATGATAAGACTCATTGACACAACTATCATATACACCAATTAATGTATGAAAAAGTATTTCGTAACATTTTCTTCGGGTTGGTAATGCCAATAGAATAGTAGATTTTAAAACACAACCAGTAGAATATTAGAGTGTAGCATTTCCATGTCTACACGGTCACCTTCATTTTATAACACAACCAGTAGAAGATTAGAGTGCGACATTTTTTTCGACCAGAGTCTACAACATCGGATTATAGTACAGTAAAAGAGATAGATCTATTCCGTGCCATCTCGTACACTACGTACGTCAGTGTTAGTATGCTCCGCACTGGTCATTTGTCTGATGTAGGTGACCGTGTAGATCTCGTACACTACGTACGTCAGTGTTAGTATGCTCCGCACTGGTCATTTGTCTGATGTAGGTGACCGTGTACATCTCGTACACTATGTACGTCAGTGTTAGTACGCTCCACACTGGTCATTTTTCTGATGAAGGTGACCGTGTAGATCTCGTACACTACGTGCGTCGGTGTTAGTACGCTCCTTATTGGTCATTTCTCTGATGAAGGTGACCGTGTAGATCTCGAACACTACATACGTCAGTACTAGTACGCTTCAAACTGGTCATTTGTCTGATGAAGGTGACCGTGTAGATCTCGTACGCTACGTAGGTCGGTGTTAGTACGCTCCACACTGGTCATCTGTCTGATGAAGGTGACCGTGTAGATCTCGTACGCTACGTACGTCGGTGTTAGTACGCTCCACACTGGTCATTTGTCTGATGAAGGTGACCGTGTAGATCTCGTACACTACGTAGGTCGGTGTTAGTTCGCTCCACACTGGTCATTTGTCTGATGAAGGAGACCGTTTAGTCATCGAAACGTCACACTCTAATCTTCTACTGGTTATGTTTTAAGAATTTAATCAGTTTGAAAAAATAATTTGTCAGTTGTGTCAGACATACCATTTAAAACTTTGAAGGATTTTTGTATGTTTTATTGTCTTTTTTTATATTTCAGTATCGTGTCATGATGGTAGCCCGTGTGTCAGCACCTTTACCATACTGTCTGATGTCACATAAGCGATACAGATATATCCTGACCGTGTATTATTCCGAGAGGGAAAAATGTCAGTGATTTCTGGACAAAATTCGACAGATGAACACTGATACAAACATAACTTTGACAAACATATCTGAAATAAGAATATCTATATAGTATTTACACTCTAAACGTCGATCACGTGCTCCAGATTAATATTTACTGTTTGTGTGGCTCACATTTCGGGGTTTTACAAAAATACAAATACGTTTTCGTTTATGATTTCATGGAAATATGTACTTGTGGATTCAGTGTACATACCCGTGAATTCAACGAAGATAAATCATCCACTAAAACAGATGATTTTTACAGTATATCAAGATGATTTCCTGGCCGGCTAACTACGTTGGAGTTATTGTAACAGCGCTTCGTATGCCCGTAATACCTGAACAACAAAGATATATAAATTCGGATATATATTATCAATGAAGTTATAGCAACAATACAGACAAGCGAATTATCAAATTTTCGATGCAACCCGCTCTTTTAACAAGACGCAAATTTTACATTAATTACATCACATACATAGAATATAAAACAAATACAAAGCATTCAGATATAGATAAAAAAAATCTTCAGAAAGGTAAACAGAGACGGCGCTAAATACATGTCTTCTTTCACACAATTTAAGGAATTTGTTTAATGTATCAGAGTTCCAAGGCCTCGCTTCAAAGATTGAACAAAAGACACACAATTGAATAAAACTATTTAATACAAGTTCAGATTGGTAGAGCCAAACAATGAATTAAACTGTATCATACAGCTGTTTCGTACTTTTAGGATTCATCAGTGATGTTACACCATACAGCTGTTTCGTCCTTCTAGGACTCGTCAGTGATGTTACATCATACAGCTGTGTCGTCCTTCTAGGACTCGTCAGTGATGTTACATCATACAGCTGTTTCGTCCTTCTAGGACTCGTCAGTGATGTTACATCATACAGCTGTTTCGTCCTTCTAGAACTCGTCAGTGATGTTACATCATACAGCTGTGTCGTCCTTCTAGGACTCGTCAGTGATGTTACATCATACAGCTGTTTCGTCCTTCTAGGACTCGTCAGTGATGTTACATCATACAGCTGTGTCGTCCTTCTAGGACTCGTCAGTGATGTTACATCATACAGCTGTGTCGTCCTTCTAGGACTCGTCAGTGATGTTACATCATACAGCTGTTTCGTCCTTCTAGGACTCGTCCGTGATGTTACATCATACAGCTGTTTCGCCCTTCTAGGACTCGTCAGTGATGTTACATCATACAGTTGTTTCATCCTTCTAGGACTCGTCATTGGTGCATTTTTAGGCACCGGAGGAGACCGAGGAAAATCGAAGGAAATGTCAAAATCTAGATATTTTCTCGTCATTTGTTTCTGGAACATCGCATGTATTCCCTTTGACAGGCACAAAGGCTAGCAAACGGATACCAATTTGGACCATTCCGCCTTTGTTTATTTGTTTTTAGAAATATTTTCTTCGTGAGCTACTTATCATTTTTAATAAGATCTTTAGTGTAGTCATAGTAGGGAAGAATCAAATTGATGTTCCTAGATTTTGTTTTGGTTTGCTGAAATGTATCTGCTCCTTTGGAATTCGACTTTATTGAATGTATGTTTACGTCCCTGCCATATCTTTGAGCTGTATAGTGTAACGCATGCTCGTCGACTCCCGCCCTCTCTAATGTTATCATTTCATTGAAGAGCTCGACCTAGGGTTTTTTTAAATCAGGAGTCATAGATACAATTTCGTTTATGTTCTGTATGATTTTCGCTCTTTCGGCATCCCTAACAATTGTTCATGCTAGTTTCAGCTGTATGGTACAGTGCAGTAGATTTTTGTGACCGACTTATCTTTCCCTTCGGGTTGAGATTCTTTAAATTACCCCAAGAGGATTGTTATGTGGTTCTTTCTAGTGAATTTATGTCTGACTGGCGTATTTTCTTTAATTTTTGGTTTTTGATTTCCTAATATAGCAAATGTTTGCATCCGATGTCTATCAGCTTTAAAACTGTTCCATATTGATATTTATGTTCGATGGCAAAGCTTGTCCCCTTAGTTTTGGGGTGAGACAGAGCATCCTGCCGACAGAGATTTGTATGTATGTGACTTTAAAATAAGTTTACCTATGATTTAATGTATTTTAACTCAACCTGGAAGCAATTCCATATAGCGTATTATTTAACTGTCTCTATTTCTTGGTCGTCTTGCTCGTAACCTTGATATTCATTTACGAAAACGCATTTAAAACAAAGACTCTTCAATATTGTGGCTATCTCATGAAAAGTTGTCGAACTTTGACATGATACTTGAAGTAATTGCATGTTAAACTGTATTAAATATCGAACGTGCTGATGTAAATCCTGTTATTCACTGCTTGTCATAGAGCCCACTCTACAATCACAGGAATTTATTGGTAAGATTTCTCGAAAATAAGTACACAAAATGGGGCCATTATTTTCATTTTTGTCGTCATTGATGGGTTTTCATAAAAAATGAAAATAAAATTATTTTGTAAGTAAAAATGTAAAATCTCTTTTCAACATCATTATTTCGAAGTTATTTAAATGGAGGGAAAAGCTGGCAGCAACGTCTTGATGATCTGAAAAATAAAACTGACTGAACATAGAGAAAAAACCGGGTTTTGCGGTGTGGACTGATCCGTAAATGCCTATTCATTGGTCTGGGACTGATCTAGTGAATAGTTTGCCTTCTTGGAATTCCGCGATACGTCGCAGTTCTTGCATCCAATTTTGTATATGTATTCTGCAACATTCTCTTTAGATGCTTTTATCCATAGGATGGACTAGGATATTTCAGAGTCTTGTGAGCTGTCATGGCTGGTGCTATACCATGACCACGGTAAATCTTGTGAACGGTTTCTTACACCTCTTTGATGTAAGGGATGACAACTTGTCCGTTTGTTTTTTCCTCTCCCTGATGTTTCGTCTCTTATTCTTTATCAAATTCATTGTTAACTTTCTGTATTACCCAATAAGGGTATCCACATGTCATGGCGCCATGGATGTGGGTTTGTTCTTACTCATTATCTTGGTCTATCGTTTCAAATCTGTTGAGCAAGGTTCGTACAGGGTGATGCGATCGGAAGTTGAGGTATTGGTCCGTGTGAGTCTTTTTCCTATAGACCAATAATTTGATGAAACTGTCATCTTTATTTACTTGGAGGGTGTCAAGGATTGGCATAGTGCCATTGATTTCTTCCTCATTCTTCTGTAGTCCTTTCTAGAATATTTCTAATTTCAACGTACCGTCTGCAAAGACTAGGTTTGACTGTTACAGAAGCCGAGGCTATAACTTACATCGCCTAGAGCTTCATGGATACTTTCGCCACTATTGGAGACACTGGCTTGTCCATGGCTGTGCCAAACCGTTGGTGATAGATAGTATCTCGGAAGGCAAAGAATTTTGTTTTAGGCACAAATTTTAGTAAATCCATGAGGTCTTGGATATGGAGACTGGTGTTGTTCGCCATGACCGCTCTTGCTCTGGGGGCTCCGAATGATACCATGTGCTTTGTCAGTGAATGTGTTAGTGACAAGAGACACTACATCGTAAGGAATGAATTCCTGCTCGTTTTGGAAAAGTACCGTGGACATATTTTCTGAAAGGTCTGTCTAGTTTTTGACATGATGTTCTAATTATCACAACAAGGGTCTGGGAATGTCTGGGAATGTGTGACTGTGGCCTGGACACTCTGTAGTCACTGAAACCTGTATAGGCTGTAAATGGTTCCCTTCTTTGTGGCCTTTTTGGTGTACATTGTGTTCTCTGTAGTTAGACAAAGATGTCTATATTGTGATTCAGTGTTCGTTCTTTTGTTTAAATCAGATCGCTTTCAGGCGGTTTTTGTGTAAGTTTGTTCCTTTTTTTTCCTTGTTCGAGCTGCGTCTTTGTCCTTATATTCGAGAGTGTCCAGGATGGTGGCTTTCCTCTTGTCTGCTGGTAAAATCATGTCTGTCCTTGTTCAAATTCTCTACAGGTTGTGGTATGGTAACTTCTATTCTATTCTATTGGCATTACCAACCTAAAGAAAATGTTCCGAAATGACAGAATAAAGCGAGGCATATTTTTACATGCAACATCGCATAATATACATGCATAATATCATAAAACTCGAAAGCAGTTTGACCGAGAAAAGGATATGTTGATCTTCCGAGAACGAAGCACTTGTAGTCTATATATGTGACCGTGACTGCGGAAAATGGGAACAGATTCGGCCAGCCTCATTCTGAGAAGAAGACGCCTAAAGTCGCGAGACCTATTTTCTTCGTTTTTTTACACATGGTATAGTGAAAGATTTTTTATTTCTTTCTTTTTTTTCTGATTATGCAAATGTCGGTATTTGACATTTTGAAAAATTGTTATATTATTCAAAACGAGTATTTTTAACGTAATAAACAAGAGAACGAAAGATGGGTACACATTATTGAAACGGAAATTGAAATGACCGATGATAGTAAGGCTAATATTCTAAATGATTACTTTGTTTCCATTTCTACTATTGACGACAATAACATTGAAGTACCGACAGTAGAACTACGGACAGACTCCACTATCTCTGACATTCAGTTTGAATTGAATGACATAATTGACATACTGAAATCTTTAAATATAAACAAAGCTGTTGGTATAGATACAATTAGCCATAATATGCTAAAAAATACAGCAAATTCAGTAGCTTTACCATTGTGTCTTATATTCAGATCTTCTCTGGAAACTGGGGCTTTTCCTAAATTGTGGAAACACGCATTAGTTATGCCATTATTTAAAACTGGAGATAAACACAGTTTTACTAACTATAGACCAATTTCACTACTTAGTACTGTCGGGAAAGTTTTTGAACGGTTAGTTGTTAAATACCTTAATAACTATCTCTTAGAAAATTCATTAATATACAAGTTTCAGTCTGGTTTTCAGCCTG